TATTATCTATGTATATATATATATTATATATTATATATATATTATATATTATATATATATTATATATTATATATATAATATTATATAATATATGTATTATAATATTATATAATATATGTATATATATATACAGTCAGTATAATTAAGTGCACATGGGGGCAAGACGGGCAAGACGGGCAAGCATAAGATTTGCAGGCTTCTGCCACATGCAGCGCTGCAGCGATAATGTTCGTATCGTGATTCGCCGAGACCCTGAAGCAATGCCGGGACTGATAAGAACGCAACTGATGTAGCGTCAAGCCTATTAGGATCTATTAGGACCATTAGGAGCGCCTGTCCCACACGATGAGACCACCAAAAACAAACAATGAATCCTGACTTGTCTTCCACCGCGTCGGTGCCCGTTCGGTGGTTTTTTTCTGAACCGTTGATTAATGCTTGCAGAAAACTGGACACCTTTTTAAAATCTCTGTGCGGTTTTTTCGAAACATCTCCGAAACATCGCATCCTGGAAATATGGTTCAACCCTCTGGTTATGTCAAAATAGCTATTGAAAATGGCCATTTATAATTAGTGAGTTTTCCCTTTAAAACCTCCATTTATAAGGGAGTTTCCATGGCTATGTTAAATAACCAGATGGTATTTTTTTGGTATTTTTTGGTGCCTGCTATATTAACATCTCACATATCCTCTTCAGAGTCCTGACGCAGGTCTGCGTTGCCTGAGATGTCGAATGGCACCATGTGGCTGAAGCCGAGCTCATGAATTCAACATGGGGAATCTCGTAGCAAGATACAGCACCAGGAAGTTGACAAGATGCATCTATATATATATATAGAGATATGTTTAGACATGTTTAGATTATTTCAAAATATGTCAAATATACATAAACAACAACTAAACTCAGAACTAAACTTCCATAGACCACGATTCGAAGGGACATTTTTTTGGTATACCCAACCCCATCATGGGCCAGTCCTGGGGTCTCCAGACAGCATTCCCCGCTGGTTTTCCCCGAGCACTGGCAACAGCCGCGGCGTTTAAGTGCTGGTGCGAGTCGCTCTCGCTCCGGCCAGCGCTTAGTCAGCTCATTCACATTCATTCACCATGGTCGGAGTGGAAAATTGTGGTTAAATATCCAGGAGGACGAATTTGTTTATTAACATGTTCCATTCTTTTCCACAATGTGCATAATTTTTCTCAGGTCATTAGTTAACATTGTGGAACATTATTGTAACCAACAAGGGTTGGACTATTTCACAACCTGCTGAAGATGACCTTTGGAAGGGCATGTGAGGCTTGAATTTCGGCAGGGATGGGTTCAACTGTAGGACCGGCTGGCCATCTAGATTTTCTTATGGGTCAAAAAATGGGACAGAATGATTGGCTGGTCACTTGCGCCCACCGCATTCCCCCCTTTCAGGGACGTTGGCAGATGCAAAATCTCAGATTCGTTCGCCCCAGGCAGCCGACCTTTGGAAGAATGGTGCCCTGCGATTCCGTGGCCCCTCGGTGTACAGATGTCGCTCCTGTTCGGCGGTAGGACGTTCTTCACGACTGGCAAGTGATGAAACGACTGCAGGCTTCGGCTTCGGCCGAGTTTTAGACCACCCAATTTTCGGAACCAGGAATCTTCTTTGGATACTGGATGTTGCCATGGCGGGGACACCAACATGGATATTTCTTTGGTCATTTTAGGTATGGGGAAACAGAGAGGTGACTTGTCATTGGCCATGGCTTCCATAGCTATGTTACTGGAGGCAGATGGTAGAATGATGTATCATGGGCTATGCACAATATTGCACAAAAATAATAACCCCCTATTCGCACTAAACAATTACACCACCCTATGCATACACAATTTTCCTAATATTACACAATCATAAAGCCCTATTTATTGAGTATCTCAACACAGTTCTGAAGAAAGTGTCATGGCAGAAGAACTCCATCAGATGCTGCCTGGGTCGTGTGCTTCATGGCCAACAGTCTTGTGTGGAAGAAAAAGTCAACTCTTGGTTGGTTGGTTTTTACATGTTTGCTGCAACCCTGACGTTGCTCCGCGTCTGACTTCAGGTGGCTATGAAGATAAAGATTATGTTTTTACCCCAATCAACATATTGTTCAGAGGGGATGGCAAATTTTGATCCCTCATGAAGATAAAGTTGATGTTATTACCCCAATAAACATATTGCTCATAGGGGGTGGCAAATTTTACTCCCTTATGAAGATAAAGTTGATGTTATTACCCCAATCAACATATTGCTTATAGGGGGTGGCAAATTTTGATCCCTCATGAAGACAAAGTTGATGTTATTACCCCAATAAACATATTGCTCATAGGGGGTGGCGAATTTTACTCCCTTATTATGAAGATAAAGTTGATGTTATTACCCCAATCAACATATTGCTCATAGGGGGTGGCAAATTTTGATCCCTCATGGAGATATAGTTAATGTTATTACCCCAATCAACATATTGTTCATAGGGGGTGGCAAATTTTGACCCCTCATGAAGATAAAGATGATGATTATGATGATGGTGATGATGACGATGACGATGACGATGACGATGATGATGATGATGATGATGATGATGATGATGATGATGGTCATGATGATCATGATGATTGTAAGTGTGGAGCGACGTCCGGGTTGGGGCGAACATGTTTTAACCATGCGAGGATTTATGGTGGAAATATCACGATGTTCTGTACCTAGAGAGCAGGATGTAAACCAACTTACCTGGGGCCCTTCCGCCCTACACATCTCCATGTATTTCGATGAACCTCATGTCGTGACGGAATTCTGGAATCCCCAAATGGCCGTATGATAGCAGCTATTTTTAGCTTAGTGAATCATCCTAAATTTTCAGCCAGCCAGATGTATACAACTAGCTTCAACATGGTGCAATCACCATCAATCGGGGTTTCTGAAGTCATGGGGATCCCATCGTCACCATGCTTGTTTCCCATACCCTCTGGTAAACTAGCATAACTATGGAAAATCACTGGTTTTCATGGGTAAATCCACTATAAATGGCCATTTTCAATAGCTATGTTAGTTTACCAGAGGGTACATAAAAGTCATGGTCTCATGACTTGGATGATTTGAGGTGTTTCAGGCGATATCACCATGAAAAAATCCTGACGAATGATCACCGTTTTTTTTTGGGTTGAAATCATCATCGTGTTGGTTGGTTGAGTTGGGTTGAGTCGGGTATGGGTCAATACCTATAGATACATTTTTAGTGGGATGAACATCCATTTACCAGCTATTTTGGGGTTCACTAGGTACCAGGGTTTTGACCCATCCTCAGTTGGGTTGAGTTGGGTTGGTTATTCTCAACATCGTTTTCTCCAGCGGCTCATTGGTGACATTGGTGGTTTGGCGTCCGTTTGGAATCCCAGCAACTGCAAACATTGAGTAAAGACACACATAGGGGTTTCCTAAACTGGGGGTACCCCAATAGCTGGATGGTTTTACAGTGGACAATCCTATGATGATAACTGGGGGTAGCCTCATTTGAGTAACGCCCGGGCACAAAAAACTCATGAGCTTTGCACCAAATCTTGTGACTGGAGGATCATCCCGCGGGAGCATCAGTGGGATGATCCTCCGGTGATGACTTCATCCTTGGTTTGAAGAGTTACCCTCTGGTAAACATACAAAAAGCTATTGAAAATGGTCATTTATAGTGAGTTTTCCCATTAAAAATGGTGATTTTCCATAGTTATGTGGCTGTTTACCAGAGGGTAGTTGGGTGACCCCCTTGGGAAACGCCATGGGAAAATCCTGAGATCCAATATTTTTCCAAGGGACTGCACGCCGCTAGCATATTGCTCCACTTTGCACCACGAATGATATTAGCGAAAATCGGATGCACATTTCTGAATGGATGCACATCGGATGCAGATCGGATGCACATCTGCATTCGAATGAGAGTATTTTTTGATGTTTTTTGGGATTCCCCCATCTGTTTTGGACGAAATAGATGATTCGATATGAAATGGAGACCAAGTGTGGAATGTTCATTTGCTATATGATGAAATGTCAGAGGATTCATCCAACATTTTGGTGTTCAGCCATTTGTGTTGGAATGTTTACAGGATTTACTGCCATAGTGTGGACATTTGTGGACCAACATGTAAGCCCAAAGAACATGAGTCTCTCTTAATGTCAGAAAAAATGTTTCCTAATAAATCATCCCAAGGCTCAAGCAGGAAACTCTCGAACACATGTTCCCAGGATTCCGGTGTGGAGTTTCCCTAAATAATCTTGTAAATCATCCCAACAACCATCTTACATCATGTTAATCTGCACCTTGTACAATAATGAAAAAACACATTCTAGAGTCTATCCAGCGGAAGAATCTGTTGTCTCAAAAAAATAACATGTTTCTTTGGATTCCTATGCTCGCGGGAAATCCGTTGACATCCAGTTTAAACAAGCACAAAACATCACAAAACCATGTTCAAAGTATTGCAAAACCAAATGGTCATCCAAAATTATAGGGGAAACAAATATTAGTTCAATCCAACTCTATAGAAACATTGTATATAATATCTTATCAGATCTGATTAACATTGACATGGACAGTACTCCATGTGTTGATGGTAAAAGTAAGTGGCTTTTCCGCAGATCAACTCCAGCCATGGGGTCCTCCACTTCCTATGTGGGCCAAGCGGCAGAGGTACACCATCCAGATTCCATGGGGTAACTCGGGATGAACTGGGGGATTCCCAAGCTCGCAGGATGGTTTTCATGGAACATCCCAATCTAAAATGGATGATTTAGGGGTACCCCCATTTTAGGAAACCTCCATATTATATATATATACATTATGTATACATATATATATATATGTATATTTATGTATACATATATAGGTATATGTATATATATATGTATATGTATATATGTATATATGTATATATGTTAATAGATTTTCTCCTCACAAGTAACTGGATCCAAACCCCTGACATCTGGTCACAGGCAGCTGCCATGGCAGTCTCTTCCTACTCGCGCCCCTGCGATGCGACAAACATCGGGTGCGCGTTACCGGGCAACTTCCGCGCCCCAGGGGATTTCTATCTGAAAACTATGGGAAACTGTGAAAAACTGTCGAAAATGGCCAGATTACTGAAGGGTCGGTTTTCTTAGCTCCTCGTAGTTAGTAGATTGGTTGATAAAACATGATACAAGTCAAATACTATAAGGATCTATAAGGTGTTTGATAAACTATTATTGATAAAACATGATAAAAGCTGATAGTTAGAGAGGTCTCTCAAACCCATGCTATCCCGTTGGGGTCTCTAACCCTTAGATGGTAAATGCTGCAGGCCGAACAGGCCCGACCTGTTGCCCTGTTGGTCGAACATCAGTGATATTAAGCAACTGATATAAGAGTGATTAATGGGATAATATTGTTGTAACATATTATGTTAATTAACTTGATAATCATTGATATGACATTAATCTCCCATGAAGATTCCATTTTTTTTTGTATCCGATTCCATCACTGTGAAAAACCATGTTATGGCACCTTTTATAGACCGTTGGTGACCGGTACATCATGTACATCACACACAAAACACTTGGGTATTTTCCGATGATCCCGAAAGTGGATGATAAGAATCACTGGTTCCCGGCCTGGTAAACATACAAAACGCGACATGGAACATGGCCATAGAAATAGTGGATTTACCCATTAAGAATGGTGATTTTGGATAGTTATGTTAGTTTACCAGAGGGTAGTTTCAATACCTTGTTGCATCTCCTGAAGTTGTATAAGTGGGTTGTCTCATTTTCTTTCAATATTGATATCGTATCAGTCTACTCTGTGAGGAAGTACAGTCCAGTGTTTTTTAGAGAATACACTCGATCCACTTCACGGAAGATTTCTGAAGTTCCTTGATAGTCACAGCACTTCATGAATTGGTTGAAAGGAGCATTTACAGGGTTTATCCCACGGTCTATTGTTTATCTCCCATATTTGACAGCGAAGCCCAGGGGTTGCCCGTGACAAAGAACCCATCAGCTGCTAGGTATGGCACTGCGGGCTTCAGAACCAACGCAGAGCTATTGGACAACGCGCCTTGGAAGCTAGCTACGACCCAAAGACATGGCTACAACCCCTAGCTACAGCAGGATTTCCCATAAATTGTGATACTCTTCGATGTATTTGAGAGTATAACCCCAGATAACAGATGATAATACTTAATTAACCTAATGGATTGTGATACTCCCTAATTTCTCTTTGAGAGTTTTTACCCCAGATAATAGATGATAAATACTTAATTATCTTAATCCACCTAATGGATTGTGATACTCCCCAAATTTTCTTTGAGAGTTTTTTTTTTACCCCAGATAATAGATGAAAAATACTTAAATAGCAATGTTGAACACTGCTCACTTTAGGTATTTGCATGTACTGTATCTCCGATTTGTTCACCAAAATAGCATACAGCTTATCGATAGCTTTGCATAGCTCAAACGTAGCTTAAAGATGCTGCCTTACAATATTAATAATGACCACCAATTTGCAGGTTGATTCTTACCCATATGTTCATCAATCATCAGATGTCATTTTCCTACTGGTCAATTGGTACCATAGAGGGACTACTGCATACAACCTCCCTTCACAACGGGGAAATCACGCCAGTCATGATAAATCCAGACCGGCAGGTGAATTTTACCCAAGTCAGACATCATGGATCCAAACCTCTTTTGTTTTTTTCCCCAAAAAAATGAGTTTTCATATTCGGATACCAATGAACCTGCAGATGTGTATTTGTTCATTTGCGACGTTGATTCAGTTGGTGATGTAACCAGCAGATTTTTCATCCCTCTATTTTTTAGACTCCGGCAAGCTTTGGAATTGGCGATTCTCAGGTCAAACTCTTCAGTGCGGCCATGATACTTAAAGCAGTTTAAAGCATCTTGAAGCCATCTTTGACATAGCATCATTAATGAGTATCACTGTTTATAAACTTCGAACATTAACCATTGCTACTTGATCATCATTATAGTAACCATTAATGATTAGTCGTTAGTCATTAATTGGCTCATGACTATTCTTCCCGTAATGATGAATGTTCGTCATTTCAGATTAGTAAATCATCCCCTACACATCACAATGTTTTTATGGTATTGAAACCATCGAAACCATCCACATCAGTCATTAACCATCCACATCAGTCATTGACCGTTCATTTCCCATGGATTAGTAATTCACTGGTTGGTGGTTTGGAACATGAATTTTATGACTTTCCCATCATCTTGGGAATGTCATCATTCCAACTGACTCATATTTTTCAGAGGGGTAGGCTCAACCACCAACCAGTTAACCATGACATACCATGACCATCTTCTTCTTTGGAACATTTTTTTTATTTTCCATAATATATATATATATGGGATAATCCTTTCCATTGACTGATATTTTTCAAGATGGTTATTGCACCACCAAGCAGCCATGTTTATTGGACCAGCTCAAGCATTTCTTCCCAACCTCCTCCATCTTTCCCAACGAGGTGATATACCGAATGGGGCTAGCAGCTGCCTTACGCGCCAAGGTGGATATCTAAAAATGGTGTATCTGAGCATTACCCTCTGGTAATTTAACATAGCTATTGAAAATGGCCATTTATAGTGAGTTTTCCCATTAAACATGGTGATTTTCAATAGTTATGTTAGTTTACCAGAGGGTAAGGGCTATCCTATGTTCAACCCACATTATTCTTCGATTTCATTGTGTTGGATGAATGTTGTTGGATTTGATTATGCCGGAGCTAACTATTTATTATTGGGCATTTGTTTGGCAGTCAACAATGAATGTCAATCAAAAGTAATTTAGCATTTCTGTCCACAAACGAAATTAACCATTATATAATAGATGAAGTATTGTTGGGATTTAAACATGAATCAACGGAGGCATTACCACACAAGAAATTGGGGAGTTGTGGGAAGCCCAGCTTACCCGTCCCCGATTCAATTGTGGGTTCTTCCATGTAAATGGATCCTAACTATGGTTACCAATCAGATACTCCAAGCAGCAGTTGAATGCTTATGTTTCGCAGGAGGTGAAACATGATATGAACCCAGTCCTTGGAGCCTGGGGGGACGGTGAATCCATTTTCCAAGGGATTTATACAACATCAGGTTAGTGGTTTGGAACATGTTTTATCTTTCCAGAATAGATGGGAATGTCATCCTCCCAACTGACTTTCATATTTTTCACCAACCAGACATTATACAACCATGTTTTTTCAGGATTTTTCAGAGGGGTAGGCTCAACCACCAACCAACCATGTTTTTCTTAGGATTCCCACGAAATGGGATGACCATAAACATCCATAAACCACGATCTACGACGTAAAAGAAAACTTGACCATGGCACAAAAAAAGGACTATATAATAGCTGATTGTCTTTAAAAGCGATCAAACGCTGATTTTTTTGCTAATTACTCTATCATCATCTAGTTGGTGGTTTGGAACATGGTTTTTATGACTTTCCATTCAGTTGGGAATGTCATGGCCATCCCACCTAGGGCTCAACCACCAACCAGACATTGCAATTTTTTCATGGCCATCTGGTTCCAAAAAACCCCGTTTCCAAATCGGTTTTTCGTCAGACGTTGCGTCCTGGGAAAGTGTGCGAAATTTTGGTGATGGGATTTCCCATTGATTCAGCAATTGGTGTCATCACGGTGTATCCTTATTATTATTGATGTTAATGTTTGATACACCAAATGGATGTTTACATGATGTAACTCTGGTTTCTTAAATATTCAGTAATTCTATGACAATCTGATCTTTTATATGTGTAGTATAAACTATGATTATCCTTATATATATTTATATATAATATATACATACCATTAGCAATAAACATAAACATCATCTATAAGAATATACCCTCTGGTAAACTAACATAGCTGTTGAAAATGGCCATTTATAGTGGATTTACCCATTAAAAATGGTGATTTTCCATAGCTATGTTAGTTTACCAGACGGTAATTTCGGTCTACATTTGTTCAATTTTTGCTGGTCAATAAACTCTCCATGTCAGGCGCTCGGCCGGAAGGCGTGGTTTCCATCGACTATCCAGTGGTGGAGGGAGCAGTTGGGGTATGCCGCATTTCCTAAGTGGGGAGCCAGCTGGAGCTACAATCAGTTTATGATACGATAGTTAATCTTGATATATGGGTATGGATCAATACCTATTAATACCATTTTTAGGGGGATGAACATCCAGTTACCAGCTATTTTGATGTTCACCAGGTACAAGGTTTTGACCCACTGCCATATCTTAATCACATGATTTTGAATGATGTTGAGAATTCGTAGGGGGGTTGAGCATTCTTGACAAGAAAATGATGGGTTGATATGGTCCCAATGGATTTCCAGCAGAGTTTATGGTTCCCAATGCGGTCTTCACTGCCAATGAAGTGCAATATTGGAAGCGGGGAGACGATGATCAAGCACTGGATTTTTGGCGTAATTACGGAGTTTTCAGACTAACCCACGAAGAAGATGTATAAGCCATTCCATACAAAATTTTTAATATACAACCATTCAAGATCTTAGATTTCAACCAGTTGCAAATGAAGATTTACATGGTTTTAAGATGTTTTAAGCAGCAAACATCAAAAGTTCGATCTCAGATGAATTTAAGAGAGATAGCCACCGAAAACATTGCTGGTCTCAAGAGTTTCAACTGTTCACGGAATTTGAGCCCTGGTCCTGCAAAGCTCAAGGGTTAAGCATCGTGGAGCGTGGAGCATCAGAGTGGATCAAGGATGATAGGAGTTTACCATCTAAAATCCATCCATAGGTTGTTTGCATTTTTGGTGTAAATGAGTAGTAGTCGATATTTGGAATAAATTTGTAACATATATATAATATATAATATATATAATATATAATATATATAATATATAATATATATATATATAATATAATATATATATATAATATATTATATATATAATATATATATTATATATATATATATATATTATATATAATATATATTATATATATAATATATAATATAATATATAGTATATATATAATAATATATATATAATATAAAAAATATATATAATATAATATATATATATATATATAAATATTTGGGTTTATCACCTGCTGGTTTCGCCAACATGCATGAAGATTCCAATGCGTTTGAAAAAGCAAATTTGATGTGATCATACAGTGGAGGTGGGTTTAAACCTAGGATACCCTGTTTTGGACGGACATGCGACATGAATATATTTTGCAACGGATTCTTGGTGTTAAAGTTTCAACCCAGAGCCAAATTTTGGTGTCTCACAACTGATGTGAGTTCAATCAAGAAACATTGAGTTTCCGCCAAAAGGAACAACTTCAATAACTTAGCAAGAATGAGATCATGAGCAACCAGCCAAATGAATCGAATATTCCCCATGTATATGTAGATGATTTATGATGATTTTAGTATTGAAACCTCCATATTTCTTGGGGATTTCCCAGCCACGTTTGATGACACCGGGTGCACCGTGTCTGAGACCCACGTCGAAACGTGCGGCAGGTGGGTGTCATGATCACGGCCTCCCACAATCCAGAGCGAGACAACGGTGCGCTTGGAGCTGGATCGGTACATTAATTAAAGGGGATCTTGAACTCATATTGTATACAGTACATGTATGCTATATACATATACATTCATTATATGAGTTTGTCTGAGAATGGGGTACACAAAAAATGGCACTTTTAATGACTGGTGATTCACAAATTAGTGGATGGAACAGGGTGCTCTTTTTTCAGACAAGCCCATGTATGTATATATATATATATAGATAACACTACATATATATATATATATATATACACATTGTGAGTGCACCGTTGTACGCATGCCAAAAAACGTGTGTATATATACACACAAATGAAATGAATGAATAAATAAATAAATAAATAAATCAATGAATGAATGAATGAATGAATGATTGAATGAATATATATATATATATTATCTGTATACACACCAATATGCACCTATTTTAACAACTATATTAGTTTCTCAAAGACGTGTTCTGCCCTTTTTCATCGCCCAAGTTGCCCCAGTTCATCAGTTGGAGCAGCTTACCAACTATATGGTAGTTACTAACCGCTCAAAAACAACTGACTTGAATATAGTTACATGATATAGAGTTACCTTCCTAACTACATGGATAGTTACATGATAATTACATATAATTACTAATTACTAATAGCTACCCAACTAGGATTGTTGTTGGTTTTTGGTGTTTTTTCGAAGGGCACTTCGGAACCATCCCCAAGAGAATGATTGGGATGATGTAAAGCCACAAAATGTGTGAAATGCTTGGTGAATTGATTATTGGCTTTACCACATACCACATTTGGAAAACCAGATCATTCGGAAAATATACTTCTCAGAAACAATATTAGCAATAATGATGATCCACTTATATGCACACTAACACATTATATTCCAATTGAGGTGGATCTGTTCCTCTTGGGGTGACAGGGATATTTTTTTAATGCACGGATGGGGGTGAATGGGATGGTGCCGATTCAATTGATTGAAGAATTGATGTTTTAGGAAACTCATGTCTAAACATTGAGGTGTTAAGAAATTCATGTTTCATGTGGGATTGATTTTTTTTGGATATCCCACATTTAGATACTTTTAGTGTTTTAAGAAATGATGAATGTTTTTTAATGTTATAATTAGACACGGGGATTCTAAAGATGTCTAAATTGTAGAACACCCTTCGAAAGATGGAAAGAAACCAGCTCAGGGCCCACTCACTCGAGACATGGGGCACTTCCTTTCTGAAGAAAACTTACTGGTGCTAAACGTAGGGAATAAGGGAATGATCCACTGGCTAACTATCAATAATAATCCCAGCAACCCCCAGTCCCATCCATTCCCTGCTAAGCACCAGTAAGAAAAAAAACACTTTTTTTTTTGGGTGGGTTTACATCATTGAGACCTTCGGTTCGATGACTTTCCACCGTAGGCGTCAAGCTGGTAGAGCCAATGGGTGAGATGCTGCTGGCTGAATGGGAGGCGATGCGGAACGACCGCACCTGTGGTCGTTAAGCAACAAGTACATAATGGATGTTAATTGGTATTCATGGATATTCATGGGATATCAATGTATCAATGTGGATATTAATGGAATATTAGTGGGAATAGTGGGTATAATATATATATATATATGTATTCATATATATGTATTCATGGGATATTTTCATGTGATATTACCCTCCTGTAACCATTTAGATGTGAAGAATCCCCTATTTGTAGATCATGTTCCTAAGGAAAACCACTGCGGTTTTTTCGGGTCAACAACCATCGGCCTGGTGAGAAAGTCTAGTTCGTAAAGGCTATATAAAGGCTATATTCGTATAATATTATATGCAAGCGGTAGAAGTGCTCAAGTAGGATATGAAGAGTCACTGGAATCGATTGGACAAGGAGGGGTGTGCACCCGCTGCTTTTGCGTGGAAATTAAGGGAATTAAATATTGCCAGTAGATTCGATATATGGTTTTGGTCAGTCTTTCAAACCTGAGCACATGCACATGCTTGTGGCTTGTGATGTGTGATCCTGTCTGGCATGTTCGTTATGTTACTGTTACTGTGACTGCATGCTCAAGATTCCCCTCGATCATTATGGTCATTGTGATTTGACTTATGCCTCCCGAAGTCCCTGCCGATAAAAGCCATGCTGAGTCACCCAATGAAAATGTCGGTGAAGCGCTACCAACCCAGCCAGTCCAACAAGTCCATCCAATGGTAGCCAATCCATGGGGGTGGTACCCTGCTCGGATGTTCCGGTCAATGTATCCGGGTTTCAATCCTATGATGATGGGATTGTGAATGCCAATGATGGTATGGCCTCAAGTAGTACCTCAAGAGCAAAATGCACCTGTGGAATCTACAGTTCGCACACCCCGATTTGTGCCGCCTAGATATACAGGACCAAAGGAACCAGGAACAGTGGAACCGAACACCGGGAACACATGCGGACATGTGCAGCATAGCGATGGAGGACCACTTGAACCAGGACCACTTGAACCAAACACCGGGAACACACACGGACATGTGCAGCATAGCGATGGAGGACCACTTGGACCAGGACGACTGGAACCAAACGCTAGGAACACATGCGGAAATGTGCAGCACGGCGATGGAGGACCAGAGGTACCGAAGACCGAAAAGTCTTTGCCACCTGCATCGACCGAAATACCTGTGCCCCCGACTCCTTTGCTTGGAACAGACCACTTACCTCCTGGTGAAACAATTGTGTCAGGTGAAGAACCTGTTGGCGTGCCAACCATGCCTGATGCAGTACGTGAAGGTGGACAAACTCGGCCTGCTGCAGTACCTGTAGTTGAATCAGCTGTGCCAGGGCCACCTCCCGAACTGGAGTGTCCGAACCCACCTCCAGATCAGCCACCTGGACCCCCCGAAGATGATTTCGATTTTGAATATGTTGAAAAAGAGGTAAATTGGAATGAATCGACCGATGCATGGTCGACCAGGGGTTGGGTTTGGAACCGGTGGCAGGGAAGCTGGAGAGGTGGTGAATGGAATGGGCGCGAAGAGGCAGAGGCTTGGTATGACATGGCCACTGATGAAGGTGAAGGGGTGCAGACATGTGCAGACTGGACGACCCCTGACTGTCTACAGCCAACCTGGTGAACCTGAACCAGAGCCGAAACGCATCCAGGCCAAGAAGAGACCCAGACCGCCCGCAGAAGATCCACCAGAACACCTGCTTTGCAGAGCCTTCCTTCAGAGCCATACGGTTCCGCAACCCAAGGCCATGGCCATGCCAAACAAAGAGGCTGGAAGATCGACTGTTATTCTTCCACCCAGGCTCCCTGAAAGCACCACTTCGGCTTCCAGTTCGATCAGTGGAGGCACTCGGTACACCTGGTCAGTGAGAAAGATGCCGCCGCCAAAAAAATGACATGGGGCAGTAGCAGCGGAGGAAAAAGGCTGCTTACTTCCAGTGCGTTGGTCAAATAATATTGAACTCATTTTTGTTCAACATGAACTTGTAACATGTATCACCAATTGGTGTCACTTACCATTGTGATTCATCAACCATGATGTTGACTATTATTAGTCTATTGCCCGGCTCAGGTGGCAAGTGGCTCGGCGACTTGCTGAGTGGACGGATGGCAACTTGACTGAGGCACAGACTCAGATTATCCAAGCCATGAAGCGTTGTTCTCGTGGTAAGGCAAGCGATGGCAACTGATTTGATAGATTTCAGAAATTAATTCAATTTAATCCATGATGTTGAAATTTCAATCCAAGCGTTGACTATAATATAGAGTAGTACTATACTTTCTGATATATGCAATCTTGTGCTCACTCAGTACAATGGCTTGGACTTTTTGGATGGAAGATCGTCCAACATGGGGTAAACTGTCAATCTGGCAGTTGGGGTGCTGATACAGCAGAACATGGCAGAGCGACAAAGTGTACATTGCATGTTACTGCAACACATGGCTGTCGACATGTCATGTCTGGAGGAAAGTGAATCAGCAAGGATTTGGTCACAACAGCCTTCACGGCGTGAATTGCATCCGTGCAGCCGTGCAAAAGCTGTTCTCAAATCGGTAAAGCAACAGAGACTTCCTGCCTTGGTTGTTAGCCCGGAGCTCAGAGCCCAAACGCGCGCAAGAGTCTAGCCTGAAGACTAAAGCAATTAAAAGTTGGCACCGCAGCAGGACTACAAAAAGTACAGCGCCAGAACAGCGCGCATCATTTCCAAGCATCCTCTCGCGTCTGCACAGCTCAGGCACCATGGCCGTCTACCGCTCCATCCTCAGCATGTCGGGCTCAACCTCCAAAAGACTATGATGAGTGGTAACACCTCTTCGAAAGGATGTAGAAGCGAACGCCTCAATCGAAACCGCGAGGCCCGAACCAACGCGAAATGTTGTCCCCGTGTGAACCTGAGACGAAGTTCGCCATCGCATCACTCTTGGCTTCTGTCACTTAGACGTTAGCCGCCAAAACCAAAAAAAAACGCCCCAAAGGCTGCAGCTCAAAATGAGACTGTTTTACCTCCTGGTGCGTGCCTGGCTACAGCACGGAGCCCCAAGACTATATATATATATAGGTTTATATATATATATTTAGTGCAACAAGTAGCGGTGATATCCGGCTTCAGAAAATCCCTGATAACTCGAGGTACTTCCGAAACACGGTTCGAGCAACGAATGCGATCAACGGCGAGACCTGCACCGTGGTTGTGGGTCGCGACCTCAATAGCCTCATCCTGCGTCTTCCTAGTTGGTTAAACCCGCGGTCAAAAACTTGCGTTTCCAGAGCTTGGTCTGAACAAGGCAGAAGATCGATCCAAACGGCCTTGCGACGCCATTTCAACGAGGCAGCCGGCTCAGTCAACAGGCGTCGCAGGCGGAAAATTGTCTGACCGAACATCTATAGGCGGACTCCGCCCAGCACACTCAGGTCGCGTGGGCCGTCGTTCATGAAAGGGTCGGGCGGAACATTACGTTTCACTTTCAACCTAGTGGGGTGCCCAAGGCTCTTGCGCGCCATCTCCACTGAGGACGAAAAAGAAATTCAGCAGACGAAAAAGAAATTGCGCATGCATCTCGAGACCCGAAGGAAAAAATTGTCGTGTGCTAGAAATGAGAAATGCGACAACATGAAAAAAATTGACTTCAAATTTTCCTCGTGCTTTTGATTTGAAACAGTGGTGATTTGCAAGAGTAATTCGCGCAAGGGTACACAGTGTGTTGTCCAAACATCTGGTGGTTTGAAAACAGTATTCATAGAGCGCAAAACGAGTCAATCGCCACATTGATTTCAATCGATTGATTGCTTTTGCCTCACGCCAATGCTTTGAAATGACAATGGCCTTTTGAAGGCCGTCTGAACCTGCGACACCAAGATCGTTTTCTCTCGCCACAACTTGACAAAATTTGGTGAATTTATTGCAGGCTCAAGCTGACTCAGGCTGGCACAGAGTTTCTCTCCTTGGGGCGTCAGTATTTCTTTTTAATTTTCGGTATGTCACATGTTTTCAGAGCATGTCCAAGCTTGTGACCATACTTGCAAGATGTGATACATGCAAACCTTGTTTGAATTTTGGAAAGGTAAACGTTACTTCCACATGTATACGAACAATATCCAACCATCCGACACTTCACATCCTTGCTTCATTTGAGTGACACACGCAGCCATGGGATTGACATCGGAAGACCCGGTGTCTCCCACTGGTGGTCGCCATGCTCAATTCAAGGTGCAAGAGTGGTTGGTTGACAGGTGTGGTCGTTCTAAAGTTTCTTGTGATTAATTGGTTGATGGTTAATTCGGGGAGTCTGCTACCGTTTGTATATGGATATTTATCATAATCCATAAACTGGGAGTACCAATTCACCAGCCAGGATAGTGGAATGACAGACTGTTTTGAACACGGCTCACATACCTGTGATCCGTGGCCATTTTTGCCTCAAGTTCCCATAGCGTTTTAATTTCTTTCTTACATCTCCCCATGGAACTTCCATCGCTGGTGGTTCAATTTGCTGTTCAGTTCCGTATTGGTGCTCATCGCCATGATCTTAACAGGCTGCTTTTTCATTTGGAGCTGGGGGACGTGGAGTGCGACATCAATCACCTCATCTACCCAGTGATGTGGCCTGTTGCACATCATCAAGATCCTCCTTTTGAGGAACTCCCTCAGTTGCTGGTACCCTGGGATGAGGATTTGGTGGCTTCGCACAATATCCATTTCTTCGTGGCCCATGACCCCATTTTCGATGCAGTGGAATCCTTAGCACATGCGCTTCATGGCCAAATTGACATGGTCACGGCAGCAATTCCTCTTGTGGATCGAGAACATACCACTCTGTTTGTGCACCGTATTCCACATCTGCGTATACTCGAGCTTCTTTCAAATCAGATTCTTCGAGGGCAACAATTGGAAGCTAGGGTGCAAGACCTTGAAGACGTGGTTCGACATCTGCGTCAACATCTAGGCATTTGACCATTTTTTCGGAATCTCATCCTGCCGGTCTTGTCGTGTTCCATTGAGTAGCCTTCGCCCTGCCTTGCAGCTGTGCATGTGTGACATGAGCAGAAAAAGGCTATGGCTGCTTGGGGGGTCAATTTCGTGTGTGATGTTCACACTGTTGCATTGTGCCCGCTGTCCCACTGCACTGATGTTTCTGATTCTCCACATGATTTTTCAACTTTTATTTACTGTATTGTCTGTGTTCGCCTCCAGCCCCGTCGGTTGTGGTCATAGTGGACCCTAATCACCCCGCTCCTGGTGATCACGTCAACCCGCCGTTCGACATGGTCCTTGGCGGCTTGCATCCAAGGCACCTCCGAGCTGATGCGGTGGCGCTCAGTGCGACCATGGGTGCCTGTGAAAAGGTGCCGTGTGGACCTTGATCGATCTTCCATTACCCCTGGATCCGGCAAATCAATGTCAGATCTATCGCAGATTGTCCAGCCAAGTCCAAGATTCCAGTCATTTCCAAGCTATATTTCAGGTATATAATTATCACATAATTATATGTAATTCAAGTACGTCCATGTCAAGTCCGGGCCAGGATTTGGGCAAGGTCCATATCAAGAGGCAATGGCATCCCTGATCAACCTGCCAGTGGCACAGATATGTCACAGATTCAAGACCTGAGAAGTCTATGATCAAATGATCGCCAATGCTTGCTGTGCAATGTCTCCTTGATAGCAGTTGGTTGCTTGTGAAGGCCGGGGAGTGGCAGACTGCCCTGGCACTGCTCCACCCTACTTTGTTGCTCTGCTGAAGGAAGAATGGTTCAGCACATTTGCATGCATTTGCATGTTTCCAAAGTGGTAGCACGGGCAACTGACTGACAGCAGTAACAAAGAATTCGGATTCTATTTGCGCACGGCAAAATAACACTGTAAAACGCATGGCATTTTGATGGTCGGCGGCCTATCTTGGGGCTATGTTGGCCCATCTTGGGGCTATGTTGGCCCATCTTGAAGCTATGTTGGCCTATCTTGACGGCAATGTGGGTCCATCTTGAGGCCTATGTGGACCGATCTTGAGGCCTATGTTGGCCCATGTTGACCCATGTTGACCCATGTTGAGCAAAAAGATTCGAAAAAAGGGGATCAGCAAAATGGTGCATCTCCCTGAAAGGGATAAAACTGTCTTTTATAGTTTTCACAGTGCCATCCTAGGCACGGAAGCGAAAACTGGAACCCCACACTTCCTTCTTCCAAACATCAAACTACAATCCATTTTTTAAACCACACCTGTATAGGGACTCGGTTGTTTGAATACTGTTCATGTCATATACTGTTCTTGGATATCTTAATCTAGGATTAAACATCTACAGACATGTCAGATAATCTTATTATCTTAAACAGTTCTTTTGTGGGTTTCTATTTCATCTGTCCAAACCCTCCAAACCTTTCTTCTCTGAAACAAATCAGAAAACAAAGTTTTTTATTCAGAGCTCATTTCTTACCGTGCAGCTTTTGGCTGGGCGGGTTGGAGGGTTTCATCAAAATTTTTAGATGACCCACGTTGCGTGATGAATAGTCAGGGGTAGCAATGGATCCACCACGAGAAGACTCTGATTCTTCAGGGGTTGAGGTGGACGAAAGGAGAGAAGAAAATCCCCGATGCTTTGTGGAACCACCTGCAGCCGTAGGGCCAGTTGACCAGCGTTTTGAGATGCAACCTGCAATCTTTGATGCCTGGTTAAAAATGCAGCGGTCTACAACAATGACCCGGGCCCAAGCCCCCATATACGACATACTGAAGCCATCTTGGATGAAGTTGGACCACCTTTTCAAGGCCCCTTCTGTTGGAATGGTTCCTTCGGTAGTTACCCCATCGAATACCAGTACATCGATGCCAGTGTCTGGGTTGACCACTCAATTAGCTGCGAGTCGTCTCAGGCACACATCTTTGGTCAAGACAGATGACCATGTCCTCTGGGAGGCTCTGAAAAAGCTAAAAACGATCTTGCTATGTGACCCTGCCTCTTCAAAACTTGGCAGGTCTTTGGTTTCAGGTGTGAGCCTGCTGACAAGCGAGGAAGACTGGGCCAGGTCTTTATCAGATGCATTTGCTGGAAAAGCAGTTGCGACAGTGGCCAAACGTGCGGCCTCTCTCTGGCGATTCCATGTTTGGTGTGGTGACATGGGACTTGGTCCAGCAATCAGCGCATGCGAAAGCACCATATACAGGTACATGCAAGAATTGAAGGAGCAAGGATC